CGGGAGGATGAGGATGGGTGTCGGGTGGGTTCCTGGGGGTGTCCGGGTTGGGGAAGTGTGGGAATGGTGGCGGAGGGGTTTGGGCTCGCCTGGAGCAAGGCATCCTCCCAGGCTGGCTGTACTTACCTCCCAGCGCCCACCACCTGCCTGAGGTCCCTATCGCCGGCGTCCCAGGGCTCACCAACCCCCCCAGACCCCTCGCTTTGGGGCCGGGGCAAGATGCTCCATGGCCCACCGCCCCTCCTTGCTCCCCCTCCCCATGGGGCGATGGTTTGGGGAGCAGGCAGCGGTGGGGTGAAGCCAGCAGCAAGCGGGCACCAGCCACCCGAGCATCCCTCTCCGTGCCAAGCTTGCCCTGTGCCCTGGCTGGTGTGGGAAAGGGGCGATGCCGGAGTAGAGCATCCCTCCTGGAGCCATCGGCAGCAGCGAGGGGGGTCCTGCCCCAGCCCCCCCAGCCCCTTGGGGCAGCCCCAAGCCCCGCGGCCACCTCTCAACCGGAGGCTATAACCTGACGTCTCCCAGGTCTGAGAGAGGAAGCGAGGCGGAAAGGCTCTTTTGGGGATGGGAAGGGGCTTCAGCTGGGCCAGGTGGGCTCAGAGCAGCTCCAGCACCGGGGGAGCGTGCGTGGCATCGCCCCGCCGGCAGGACGGAGGGAGCCTGGGCAGGCGAGACAAGAGCGGAGAGAATTGGCAGAGGAAAGAAGCCCGCCAGGTCGGTGTCTTTAGCAATCCTTTATTCTAACCAGCTTGCTCGCCGCGACCTGGCATTGCTGTGCGCTCACCGTTATCCCGGCGTGCATCCGATGGCTCTGGGCTGCTCACCGCCCCGCAGCCCCCACCTGCACCTATCACCCCGCTACGGACCCCCTGTGCACCGGGGCTCGGTGGAGAGCCGGGGGAACGTACCTGGGTGCCGACACCGTGGTGAATTCCCGGGCGAACGCATCCTTACGCGCGAGCCGACGGAGCCGGCTGCTGCCTCCTGTCGCCCTGGCCCGCGAGGAGGAGGAGGAGGAAGAGGAAGGGGCCATGTCTTCGCCGGGGAAAAATGGGTGCCCGGGCGGCCAGGCTGCCCGCGGCACCGAGGGACAGGGCTCAGCGGCTGGCTGTGTCCGGAGCAGCGGTGAAGGAGCGCAGAGACCCTCCGCGGCTAAAAAGGAGCCGCTTGGGAGATGCTTTGCCCAGGGCTGGCCGGGAGCGACCCCGGGGGGGGGAACCAGAGGAGGGACCCTGGTGTGGCCAAGTCCTCCAGCGTGGTCCTGCTGCCGGGAAAGCCCGAGACCTGAGCGGGGAGAGGTGGAGGAGAGGGTTTGGTGGTCTGGGATAGGGGCAGCGCCCATGGGATGGCCACACATCCCAGTGGGAAGAGGAGGAGGGCAAAGGGGAGAGGGAAGGAGCCCGAAGCGCGGCAAGGGGAGACTCACCCGGCTGCCCCGCGGTCCCGCTGCCGCTCGGCCGCTGGGCTTTCCCGAGGTCTCGCTTTGCTGGAGGGCACCGGCTCCTGATGGCTGGGCCCCGCTGGGCCACCTTACTTGCCTTGGTTTTAATTAAAAAAATAAAGCAAAGATACTCTACCCCCAGCCCGCGGGTCTCTGCCGCTCCGGCCAGCTGCCGGGCTGCCTCGGGGAACCCTGAGGGCTCCTGGGGATGCCGGCTCCCACGGCTCTCCGCAGCCAAGCGGCCACGCTGCCCCTCAAAAACAGCCTTGACGGGGCCAAAAAGCAGCGGGAGGTGCAAGGCATCGGTGGTCCGGTCCAGCCCAGCCTGTCCAGGAGGTGCCGTCGGTCGCTCGCGGCCGGGCTGATGTCCAGGGCACCACGCCGAGGGGGACCCTCTCTCGCAGGAGGGTCCCGGCGGCAGCCCCCAGCCCCGGGGACCAGCCCCAGGTGATGCTTGGCCGCGGTCGGCGCTGTGTTTCACTCCACGTCCCCATCCCTACACCCTCCCCCAGACCCAGCCGAAGGTGACACCATCTCCTGGCGGGGTGGCCCGGGAGAGGAGAGAGGACCACAGAACAGACAGGGATAAGCAGGTAATGGTTTTTCGGGAGGAGGGACCACTCCGGAGACCTGAGCCATGGTGGTGGCTGGATGCTGATATACCCCCTGCCCCGGCGCTGGCCGGGGTGCGGAGCGCCCTGCCCGGGAAGCGGAGGAAGCCCGTGGCCGTGCAGCGTAGCGGGGTGGTGCAGGGCAGCAGGCAGCAGAGCGGGGCATGGCTGCCCTCCCTGCAGTAGTGCTGCCCGAGGGGTGCAGCGCCCGGCCCGCCGTGGGGCTGGTGATGGGGAGATGCTCCCCCCCAGCCAGTGCTGGTCCCTCCAGGCCTGAGGACATCCCTGTCCCCAGCTCGTTTCCCTCTGCCTCTGCGGATGCAGCTGGAGCCCAGCACCCACTGGCCATCTGGAGACCTCCGGGAGCACCCCAGCATCTTAAGTAGGACACAAATGCCCCCCAAAAATGGGGAAAAGCCTTGAAAGGCAGCAAAACATGCTGCCAGCTGGGCTGCCGGAGGCTGGGGGTGTTCAGACCCTGTGGGGCAGAGACCCAAGGATCACCCTGCCGCCGGGCTGGGACTGGGGGCTGCACCCCTGGCGCAGGCAAGAGCAGGCGTTAGCGGCGGTTTGGGGGCGCGGGGAGGGTCAGCTCGGCGAGGGAGGGCGAGGGACGCCCGTGCCGGCAGCTCTACCTGAGAAGAAATGGGCTTTGAAGCCTTTTTTGGAGACGGTGTTGTCGGATTTGAACTCGATCCTCATGTTGTTGTACTGGGAGGTGATGACGTCCGGCTTCTCGGCGCCGCAGAACTTGCCGTGCAGCTTAGAGTCGGCGGTCAGCCCGCTGCGCACCTCCACGAAGTCGTATTTGCAGACCTGCGGGGTGCAAGGCAAAGGTGTGGGGGGGGGGACACGGGGCTGGTGGCACGGCTGTGCCAGCCTGCAAGCCACCGGCAGTGTTGGGGGACAGGCACAATGGAGAGGGGTCGCTCCCCGGCTGACTCACATCATTGCCCTCCGTCTCGAAGAAGTCGAACTGCAGGGAGATGCGGTACTGGGTGGGGGCCACCAGCTGCCAGATGCAGTTCTTGTTGGGGGGGTACTCCTTGGGCCACCCCGGGCTGGTGATGGAGCCGTTGAGCTTGGTGAGGAAACCTCCGCAGGCGGCTGCAGGGTGGGAGGCACCCAGTGCCCGTCACGTCCCCAGGCTCCCTGGGATTAGGGATGCCGCACGGGGCAGGTGGGGGGTGGCGGGGGGCACTCACCCTCACAGCGGCGCTTGTCGGAGGCCAGCTCGTAGCCAGGGTCGCAGGCGCATTTGTAGCTGCCCAGGGTGTTGCCGCAGCGCTGCTCCGCGCCGCCGGTTTTTGGG